CACACACACACACACACACACACACACACACACACAGAAAGAAAAATAATACAGACAGCACTTGTTTAGCACACATAAAGCTCTAGACTTAATCCCCGTCTAGCTCTCTCACCTCTCTCTCTGTCTCTCTCTGTCTGTCTCTCCCCCCCTTCTTTTCTCCCCCCCCCCCATTTCTTCTACCCTTTCTTGCCCTCCTTGGCCACTGCCTTTTATAATTTATGTTGTTTACTGTACTTGCATTAAATGTAGGCTGCATCACTTAGGCTAGCCAGCAGCCAGAGCACCTCAGTACACCCCCCCCCCCCCCCACACACACATGCAGACAAAGAAAAAGAAATAGGCTGAATAAATCTCCCAAAGCAAAGGATCCCTTTGCCGAAGCTGACTGCTCCTCTGCCCTGTAGAGCCAAATTATGGCCTAGAATGACTGACAGATCTCCATTGCTGTCTTCTCTGCTGGAGGAGAAGTCCAGTGTTGAGGTAGGAGCCTAACATGGGAATTGCAGTGATTCAATTCCTGCTCATGCTGGGAAGCACGTTTCCTCCTTTGGGTAGCATCTTGGTGGAGTGGTGGCGGTGGCTGCTGCCAGGCATCCTGCTCTCTTCTCTGGGCTGATGCTACCCTCTGCTGCCTCCCTGATTAAGGCAAGAAGAGAGCATTTGCTGTTAGCTTAGCATCAGTAGGCTCTGCTTCTGAAACTGGCCCAATCCTCATCCTGTAAACTACAGGACATAGGAGCCCAAGGACCCCAAACCCCAGTTCAGCATAAGATCCTTTCCAATTCAATCCATTCATACAGAGGCAAAGGACAGCAATCTGCTTGTCAGGGCAAGGCAGTGTGGAAAGAGTGAAATGGGTTCACACAGGTGAGACCCTGAGAAGTTCATCATGTAGGAAATAGGACCCCACAGAACTGAGAGAGTAAGAGTGTGTGGCAAGTGGGAGCACAGTGCCTTATAGGTCAGGGGACAGGGATGAGGGAAGGAGGGCTAGGAAGACTCACATGGTGACTGGCAGGGACAGAAATCCTGGTAGGAATAGCAGACATAGGGTTCCACACAGAAACCTGGCCTTTGCTGAGTGACCCAGATTTGCCTCTGAGGTAGTATTAGAAGTGTCATTTTGCTAGCATTTGATGATCCACGTAGAAGTGGCAAGAGACCCCAGGCTGAGACCTGGAGGAGGCAGCAGGCACCAAGGCTACCTACAAGAGGTTTTGTCCAGAACCTGATCTCAAGTAGTTCCTTTTTCTAGAACAGCCACCTCAGCTCCTTCTAGTTTCTTATTCTTGCTCCATTCCATGACCCCACTATCTGTCTTTATAACGCCTCCACCTCTGTCCCCTGGGGCCACATTCCCCAGCATTCCTTTTTTAAAGGTGCAGGCCTTTAATCCCAGCACTCGGGAGGCAGAGGCAGGTGGATCTCTGTGAGTTCTAGACCAGCCTGGTCTACAAGAGCGAGTTCCAGGAAAGCCTCCAAAAGTCACAGAGAAACCCTGTCTGGAAAAATCAATAAATGAAAAAAATATCTTGGGGTAACACTAAGCAAACAAGTAAAAGACCTATAGAGCAAGAACTTTGAGACTTTAAAGAAAGAAATTAAAGAAGATACCAGAAAATGGAAAGATCTCCCATTCTCTAGGATAGGCAGGATCAACATAGTAAAAATGGCAATCTTGCCAAAAGCAATCTACAGAGTCAATGCAATCCCCATCAAAATCCCAACACAGTTCTTCACAGACCTTAAAAGAACAATTCTCAACTTTATATGGAAAAACAAAAGACCCAGGATAACCTTGTACAATAAAGGAACTTCTGGAGGCATCACCATAAAAAA